TTTTGTTTAAAATATATTTTTCTTCATATCCTTGAGTATAGTTGTAACTGCTGCTGTATAATCTTTTCTACTGGTTCCAATATCTGGGTCATGTAGAATTCATCTCCATTATTTGTGTCTCCTCTTGAGTGTGAATCAAAGTTTCCTGTTTCTTATGTCTAGTCATTTGTTCATATCATGGACGTTGTGGATAATCTGTTGTAGAGACTCTGGATTCTACTGTTATTCCAATGAGTCTTGCTTTTTTTGGTTGTCTTAGTAGGCAATCACCTTTGCTCAGCTCAGAGTCTAAACTCTTTCCTCTGTGGTAGATAGCAGCTGAAATCCCTGCTTTTGCTTGAGTTGGCCATCTTGAAGTCTGTGCCTCCTCTGCCTCATGCACAGGCGGTGTACAAGGCAGTGATGAGGGCAGTGTACATTCAGGATCTGGGCTCCCCTCTATGACTTGCTGTAGCCACAAATTCCTCCTTCACATTCCAGCTGCTGTGATCAACAAAAAAGTTGATTCTGGTTCTTTAAGCCTGGAAGAGGGCAGGCTTCCACGTGCCTCTCTGATGCCCACACTGGCCCTGACTTGGGCCTACACTAAGACAGAAAGTTGTGAGAAGTAGGAAGCCCGCCCAGTGCCACCTTCTCCCAGCGCCGGCCTGCTCGCAGCTGCCCCAGTGCCTTTCCATGTGTCTGTTGTCGCTAAGGGGAGGGCTGCTCTCGTGGGTCCTGCTGCTGTTGTCGGAAGCCTCTCTTCTCAGTCTATTTCAGTCATAATTCTGTTGTAGCCAACATACAGAATCCCGCCCCTGCATTCGCCAGGCCTTGCAACTATCCCGATGCCTTCAGTGCCTCCTGCCCATTCATTGTCTTTCCTTTCGTTCCCAGACACTCACAAACTGAGGATCCACACATTCACTTTAGAAACGTGCTGGCAAACAAGTCGGCCTCCCAAGGCTGCAGTCTCCAGATTTCACAGGAAAGCTCCTTGGCAGTGGCCCTTCCTCAGGGCTGAAAGGTCAATTCCATGAGACACAGACTTCCTGACCCGGGTGCTCACTCTCCTCTGCGCCCTTTCACTTCCATTCACTGACCCCTTCTGCTGCTGGAAAAAATAACTCAGTCCATTCCTAACAAGGCTGCTTTTTGTTGGTTTGGTGTTGAGAAGGGGTCTTGCTCTGTTGCCCAGGCTGGAGGGCAGTGATGCAGTCATGGCTCACTGCAGCCTCCACCTCCCAGGCTCAAGCGATCCTCCTGAGCAGCTGGTGTGCACCACCACATTCTGCTCCAACAGGGTTTCTATTTATTGGAAAACTACAGTTTTATGCATAAAAGCAAAATTGGACTAGCGAGATGCTGAGACTGCTATATCCTCAATTTTTTTTTTTTTTTTTTTTTTTTTTTTTTTTTTTTGGAGACGGAGTCTCGCACTATTGCCTAGGCTGGAGTGCAGTGGCACAATCTCGGCTCACTGCAATCTCTGCCTCCTGGGTTCAAGCAATTCTCCTGCCTCAGCCTTCCGAGTTGCTGGGACTACAGGCATGCACCACAATGCCTGATCAATTTTTTTTTTTTTTTTTTTTTTGTATTTCTAGTAGAGATGGGGTTTCACCACGTTGGCCAGGATGGTCTCGATCTCCTGACCTTGTGATCTGCCCGCCTTGGCCTCCCAAAGTGCCAGGATTACAGGTGAGAGCCACCGCATCCGGCCTATCCTCAAAATTAACAGAAAATTGGCTGGGCGCAGTGGCTCACACCTGTAATCCCAGCACTTTGGGAGGCCGAGGCAGGTGGATCACAAGGTCAGGAGATCGAGACCATCCTGGCCAACATGGTGAGACCCCATCTCTATTAAAATACAACAAATGAGCTGGGTGTGGTGGTGCACGCCTATAGTCCCAGCTCCTCGGGAGGCTGAGGCAGGGGAATTGCTTTAACCTGGGAAGTGGAGGTTGCAGTCAGCAGAGATTGCGCTACTGCACTCCAGCCTAGTGACAAAGCGAGACTCTGTCTCCAAAAAAAAAAAAAAAAAAAAATTAACAAAATCCACATTTTAAATATTTCACCAACTTTTTTTTTTTTTTTTTTTTTTTGAGACAGTCTCACTCTGTCCCCAGGCAGGAGTGCAGTGGCGTGATCTTGGCTCACTGCAACCTCTGCCTCCCAGATTCATGTGATTCTCCTGCCTCAGCCTCCTGAGACTACAAGCTGGGACTACAAGCATACACCACCACGCCCAGCTAATTTTTTTGCTTTTAGTAGACACGGGGTTTCACCATGTTGGCCAGGCTGGTCTTAAACTCCTGACCTCATGATTTACCCACCTTGGCTCCCAAAGTTCTTTACTGTCTCTATGGTTGCTGGAAACCTATGGGATTTAGTAACTCGAAATACAAAAGAGAAAGAAATGGAGAAGGCCAGCTAAACCAAGAAAGCCCAGGTGCGCCTACTCCCTCACTGTTATTTTAGCAGCGCCTCTCAGGTCACGTGTACACACCTTACCCCAGGCTTCGGCTCTCACATCCGCTCCACTTTCCCACCACCATCAGAGCCAAGCCGTACACACTCCTGATGCTGGGTGCTGAACATCTTCAGGGGCCAAGACCCCCCAGCAACATTTCTTTCTCCACTCTCCTGCCCACCCCATTCCCCAGCCCCTTGCCCATCCTCTGCCCCTCACCCCTCCTCCGCACCCTCTGCCTGCGTTCTGGAAACCGCTTCATTGCCCTCTCTGAAGGCAGCTGTGCATAGAGCAGAGCTGGGCTCTGTTTATATCAGGTGGACACAGGCCCTTTCTGAACACAGGGTCCCTCTTCATCCCTGGTTAACTCCTCCTCCCTCCCGCCCTGTGCCGGCCCTTCTCTCAATTCTGCCCTGCAGGACCTCGGCCTGGCCTGGGCTCCTCACTATGGCATTACCTGAGCTTGTTCTGTGTCCTTATGTCCTGTGTCCCCAGCACTGTGCCTGGCATATGGCAGGTGGTTTGTCAACATCTAAGGAAGCAGTTTTCACACGTAGATGTTTGCCCTCACCCTCTCACTTGAGACTTCGTAGAAGGCTTGCTCTCCACCAGCCCACGCCAGCAGAGGCCTTCCTAAAATACAGGTCCACTGCCAGGTAATGGGAGCGAGCCAGCAAGCTGATTAGTATCTTCATAGCATAACCTTTCATGATCTTTATAGATACATTCATATATTTGTTTTTTATATCCTACTTCTAACTGTCCCTGTCCAAAATAAAACTGTTTTTTTTGTTTGTTTGTTTTTTTTTTTTTGAGACGGAGTTTTGCTCTTGTTACCCAGGCTGGAGTGCAATGGCACGATCTCGGCTCACCGCAACCTCCGCCTCCTGGGTTCAGGCAATTCTCCTGCCTCAGCCTCCTGAGTAGCTGGGATTACAGGCACGCACCACCATGCCCAGCTAATTTTTTGTATTTTTAGTAGAGACGGGGTTTCACCATGTTGACCAGGATGGTCTCGATCTCTTGACCTCGTGATCCACCCGCCTCGGCCTCCCAAAGTGCTGGGATTACAGGCTTGAGCTACCACGCCCGGCCTCATAAAACTGTTCTAAGAGTTTTATGATCTTTAAGAAATACTAAGATCTTTTGCCAAGTACAGTGGCTCACACCTGTAATCCCAGCACTTTGGGAGGCCCAGGTGGGCAGATCACCTGAGGTCAGGAGTTTGAGACCAGCCTGGCCAACATGGTGAAACCCCATCCCTACTAAAAATACAAAAATTAACCAGGTATGATTCTCTCGCCTCAGCCTCCTGAGTAACTGGGACTACTAATGCCTGTAGTCCCAGTTAGGAGGCTGAGGCGGGAGAATCTCTTGAACCTGGGAAGCGGAGGTTGCGGTGAGCCGAGATCACACCATTGCACTCCAGCCTGGGCAACAGAGTGAGACTCTGTCTCAAAAAAGAAAAGACAAACCACTAGATATTGCTGCCTGCCCTCCAGTCTGACACGCGTGTCCACTCCCAAGACTGAGTAAAACGCAGAGCCTGTGGCTCCCCGGGAGGCTCTGCCGCGCATGCAGGGTGGGCAGGCTCCTGCGCACAGCTGCTAAGGGACTTTCCAGGGCCCTGGCTCTGCATTTCCAGATGAAATACTGACTGCAGCTTCCTGTTAACAGTCCACACGCAGCACATGCACCATCCACGGGCACCGCATCCCCCGATCACTGCTGAGAAGCCTCAGTGCACCCCATGCCGTCCAGCGGGAGGCGCCCCCAACTGCCTCCAGGGGCAGCAGTGCATGCTGGCCTGGGGGCAGAGCCGTGGTTGTTCGGGAAAACTGAGTAACAGCTGCTCCTCTGCCCCCAGGCCTACAGGTTTCTGGAGGAGATGCGGCGGCGGCTTCCCGCGGCCAACATGTCCTACTACGTGAGCCCGCGGGCTGTGGAGGCCGTGCACCAGGGGCTGGGTCTGCCGCTGACGCGCGCCGTACCTGAACGGGTCCGACACAACAGCATGGAGGACCCCAGGGAGCCGGACGAGGAGGTGGTGGAAGAGGCAGACGATGACCCCTGACGGGCCTGGGCCCCGGGGCCAGCGTGCTGCTGCTGGAAGGCATCTTCCAGAATTTTCCAGGGGTCAGCTGCAGCACAGCCAGCTTTTTTGCTGGGAAAAACCATGTCTGTGTTGGAATACGCAGGAGAGCTGAGGGAGGATGCCGTGGGTTGGGAGGGGCGACCCATCTGCATCTTGCTCCGCCCCACCTGCCTCTGGTTGCCCGGCAGCGCCAGTAGATTTTTGGATTCGTTCCTTTAAAGGAAGTCGGGTTCACTCTACCATCGTAGTCTCCCAACTATACACTGTAAAGCCTGAGAAACTTCTAGAACCTCAGGAATGGAGGCTGCAGCTGGAGGGCTGAGGCACCTGTCCCTGTTCCCAGCATATCCTCCCCACACTCCTGCAGGGCCCACGGCTCCCAAGCAACAGCTGGGACACCCAGATCCTCGTGGCCACAGCCCCTGCTAGGCTCTGCCCACCAGCCACCAACACTCATTTAATTCTAATAAAGTAGTTTATTTTCTCAGAGCCCGCGCCCTGCCTTACCCCACCCCATGAGCCCATCCAGGATCACAGGCCTGCTTGGGCTGTGAGCAGAACAACTATGCTCTGGTCTCAGAGCTCCCTCCTGTTCTCCTGGGGATACAGCACTAAGCCCAGGGACCTGGGACGGCTCTATCGTGCTTGGTGGCTCTCAAAGGAGCGCATCAGGGACTCTGAGCAGCAGCTGTGCCATCTTCCCCTCCTGCCAGCCTGGTTCTGCCCTCACTGGAGTCAACCCCGCTGGTAGCGCCTGCAGTCCCGGCCCCAGCGCCACATCCAGGCTGCCATGCTCCGATGGGCAGTGCCCAGGCCCAGTGGTATTTTTAGCAGACTTGCTGCACTATAAATAGCAGCAGGCCAGGCCTTCCTGCATCTGCACTGTCCGTACCGGATGCTGCCGCAGACCTGGCCTCGCTACAAAGCCTGGCTCCGCTGCTCCGGGCTGCTGCCAGCTTCCTTGCTGCTGGCAGGGGTGGGCCTAGGGAGCCGCAGACGGGAGAAGCCTGTTCTTGAGTCTCTGCAGAAGCAGCAGGGCCCTCAGTGCCAGCGTCCTGCAGTCCTCGTCTGGATCCTTCTCGGCCACATCTGCCAGACGAGAGTGACAAGCAAGGCTGAGGCAGCATCAGGGGCACGTTCTCCCTCCTTCCACCTTCAGTCTGCCGAACCAGCCCCGCCAGGCCTGACTCCATTGAAGAAGGGGCTTGGGTCTGCAGGGAGCCCAGACCCACCCCAAGGCCCATGTCCTGCATGCCACAGGCTCTGTATGGGCCACACTGTATGTGGAGGGCTGCCCTGAGCTGCGTGCGGGATAGGTGGCTGCCATGGGAAGGGGCCGGGGCCAGGGACTGGGGTGAGGCACAGCCTGGGAACACAGGCAGGGCCTGCTCTGTGCCGGATGGCAGACACAGGCTGTAGTCAGAGGTGGAAAACCCCAGGAATCTGGGTGGTAGGCGTCGGGAGGTGCCACCCACCAGTGGGGAGGCCTCTTGGGCATCTGGGATAGCATGCTGTCCCCCAGGGTCAGAGCCAGAGCCCTTGGCTGCCCGCAGTGCTGGGCCCTCACCAAGATCTCCTGCAGCCTGGGGCCCCAGGGAGCTTCGGGCGCTCTGCTAGCCACAGCTCCTCCCCAAACTGGGCTAGCATCTCAGGGTGAGGAGGGCACCTGTAATCCTCAGGGGAAGTGCCTATGAGAGGAGGGTGCCCTGCCCGGATCCCGCCTGCCCTGAGTGGAAAGGGACCAGCTAAGGGCCATGCCCCCTGCTCCTCCTGGTGCTTCAGGCCCCCAGGGCCCCCAGACAATTATGTCATGGGCACGGAGTCTCTGGGGAAGGAGGCGGCCCGGGGACTGCAGGGAGTGTGCCTGCCTACCCAGCCCCATTAGTGGCTCCACTGGCCAAGGGGGACCTCTCTTCCTCTGGGCAGGGCAGGTGGGCCACTGCACACTGAGGAGCTAGGCAGTGGCTCCAAGGGACCGGTGTCTGGGGGCATTACCCCCCTTGAAAGAAGCAAGCCCAAGACAGCACCCTTGCACTTTGGGCTAAGGACCCTCCAGCTGCTCCGTGAGCGTAGGTCCTGGGAGGGAACAGGGCAGAGCTGGGCCATCCTTCCCCTGTCCATCAGTCCTGTGCTCTGCTCCTTGGCCATCCCTGGAGACTCACAGGCTCTACTCCCCACAGGAAACATCCGTTCACACCCGACAGGCTGGCACTGCGCCCAGGTGGGTAGAGCAGGGATGGCAGGGGCACAACAGGCTCACAGCCCAGCCCCATGGGAAAGGTGACTTCACCACGAGCACCCCCAGCGTCCCCCAGCATGGAAGCCTAAGCACAAGTCCCCGGGAAGGACCTGCATTACCTGGGACCCTCCTGACGAACGTGGAAGAGGCGGCATCCACGAAGCCACCCTGAGGGCCCCACATACCAATCACTGGACCACAAAGGCAGGGAACCAACAAACTGTGCTGGTGACTGCACGGCCGGAGGAGCCAGGGAGGTGGGAAGGGGCTCGGGGGGACAGCGGGGTCCTAGGTCAAGACCAAAGGAGGAAAGCGGCCAGCAGTTGGGGTGGCTGCACCTTCAGCCTGCAAACACTGCCTGTGTGGGCCCAAGGGGTCCCCGGTGGCCTGTCCTTAGGCCCAGCTCAAGTACCTACAGGCCAAAGGTCACAACATTCACAACTGATTTTACAAGGGCTGAGCAAAGGGAGCTCATGCCTGTAACCCCAGCACTTTGAGGGGCCTGGGTGGGCAGATTGCTGGAGCCCAGGCAATATAGCAAGATCCCATCTCTACAAAAAATGTTTATAATAAAGTTATCAGGCTGTGGTGGTGTGCACCTGTGGTCCCAGTTACACAGGAGGCTGGGGTGGGATCACTTGAATCCAAGAGATCGAGGCTGCAGTGAGCCAAGATGATGCCACTACACTCCAGCCTGAATGACAGAGCAAGACCCTGTCTCAAAAAACTAAGTATACCTTAGAAAGAACACACATGGAGGGGAGCCAAGTGGCAAAACACTCCCCGGGTGAGCCTGGGGGAAGGGCTCTGGGCTCGCTGGGCTGTGCCAGTGGCCCCTGGATGTGGGGCCTCTTGGAAGAAAACCCGTTTGCGGAGGGAGGCATCTTCCCTTGTCTCCCCTGCAGGATTCCCAAAGCGGCCGCAACAGGAACCAGGCTCTGGATTCCCCACACTGGGGCTGCCATGTACCTCTGGACACCTGCGAGAGGGATGTGCCCCCCAGACAAAAGGCCCGGTTCTCAGCCAGCTGGCCCAGGTCCGGCCTGCAGGAGCCATGCCACACACACCGCCAGTGCCAACACTCACCTGCCAGCCAGGACCGGGCTTCCAGCAGCTCGTCCGGGAGGTCCTCCAGTAGGCGCGCTGCAGGCACGCTGAGCAGGACAGAGGAGACGGCTGACAGCAGGCCCTGGCGCACGTAGCTGCCGGCGGGAAGGAGAGGGGCTGAGCCTGGCAGGGGAGCAGCAGGGACCACCCCCAGGCCAGGGAGACCTACCACTCCCCCCAAGTGCGGTGGGCCACCCACGCTGCAGCCCTGCCTGTCGTATTTCCCAATTGGGAAGTACCAGGCCAGGCTGCCTGTCAGCCACCTGGAGACTCCCTGGGGCCCCCACTATGAAACCCCTGTGTCTACGTGCACCCCTGGCCTGACCCAGCCCCACAAGCCACTCACGCATCGACGTGGAAGCGAAGGGCCCACACGAATTCCAGCAGGGCCTTGCCCATGGCCACAGCCACCTGGACACCAGCAGAGGGACAGTCGGCTGGGGTCCCCACGCTGTCCCCATGCCCCAGCACCCACGGTGGCTGAGGCTGACAGCCGAGGGGATGCTCCCACTGCCCAGGGGCCCATACAGGCAGCCCCCTCTTGGAAACCTGTCCCCAGGTGTAGGTGAAGCTGAGGCGCACTCCTGCCTCACGGGCAGCACAGGCCAGCGCCCGGCAACCTCTCCCTGCTCACCGTGGTGTTAACAGCCAGGCACATCAGGGCCCCTAAGGTGTGCGTCAGCCTTCCGAGAACCAGCTGGTCATCACCCAAGAGGTCGAAGGTCACCAGAGGCCTAGAGCACAGGATGGAGCCCAAGGTGCGGTGGGCATCTCAGGCCCGGCTCCCCAACTTCCTGGGCCACCGCAGAGCCTGAGGGGGCCCCACCCAGCCTCTCCTGCACTCACTGCCCTGCCAGCACTGAGACTGTAGGAGCAAGTGTTTCCAGGTGGCCACTCACCCTGCAGGGCTGCCTGGCACACGCCCACCGGCGCCAGGAGCTCCCAACACCGAGACCCCCACCCTGCTGCACCATGACCCAGGCCCAGTGCTTCTCTGCTGTCCTGAGCGCCTCATGGCCTGAACGTAGGGCCAGCACAGCGCTGGCTGAGGCAGGAGGCGGCGGGCAGGGGCCAGTGGGTGATGGTGCTGCGCACGCGCGGGCAGCGGTGCCGGCCATGCCAAAGCCCAGCATCAGAGCAGACACCTGATGCCTCACAGCAAAGCTGAACCGAGGAGGAACCATGCAGAACGTTCCCTGACACTTCACACAGGCTTCAAAAACCACAGCACAGCTGCCACCCTGTTCACACCCAAGCCCACTCAGACCCCAGCTGGAAGCCTCTTGGCCACTGGGGTATGTTCAGGGTCTCTGTACCCAACGTCCACAGGCCCACGGAAAACCCACTCACCTGTCAAAGCGCTGAAGGAGGGGAAAGAAGAAGTGGCCGGCCACGGAGCTGAACCTGTTGGGGCTGCCTGCCGGGCCCTGCCTCAGGCCACCCTGCTGGACACACACAGTGCTCACAGACGTGCAGGCCCAGGAGCCGGCCCCACCCACAGCCCTCCCTGCCCGAGAGGATCCCACGGAGCTTCTCGGACTCCAGCCTCGCCTCGCCTGCCCGGCTGCTCCTCCGCCCCCACCCAGCTCCCAGGTCCTGTGGGGTTGGTGACGGGACTCAGGCTCCACAGCCAGTGTCTGGACCCCATACCAGGCGTTCCCAACCGTGCAGGCAGGACATTACGGCTGGAGGAGCATCATGTGGGGGCCGCCCTGGGCACGGCAGGATGCCTCCCTGGCCTCCACCCACCCCAGCGACAACCAATCTCGACACTCCAAACACCCTAGAGTGAGGCAAGACCACCCCTGGCCTACACGGGCTGTGAGGACAGAGCACCCAGCAGGGCGCCTGTTTCTAGAGCGCCCCGAACCCCATCTGGGTCTTCTGCAACAAGGGTCCCATTCCTCGGTGCATACCACAGACCCAGCCTTCCAGGAATCCTGGCGCGGGCATCATCCCCAGCAAACGTGGCCGTCCTCGCTGGAGGCCGTGCCTGAAGCCTTCCCTGCCTGCCTGTGAGGAGCTGACCAGGTGCCCACGAACCTTGGAGAGCCGCCGGGTTTTGCTTCTGATCCGCTCCTCCACCACCACCCGCCAGCCAGATGCCACAGCACTGCCAGGCTGAGAGGCAGCTGCCACCTGCAGGCACTGGGTACCGGGACTTGGGGAGCCAGGCTGGGGAGCCCTCCTGAGGCACCTAGGCCCCGACAGCTCCTGTGCAGCGAGAGTCAGCACCTGGAGGGAGACAGGCCCGGGGCAGCTGCCATTGCTACAAGAACATATCCCAACAGTCAAGTCATCGCCAAAGCCCCAGCTCAGAAACAGGCCCAGTGACCCTCACAGTCTGGGGGAAAGGTATGTTCTGGGAACAAGGAGAAGTCACTTCTCCGAATCTCACAGTGACCGTGCCTTGGTGGGCGGGAAGGTGCGGAGGGTGGGCTCCGTGCTCCCAGAGATGAGAACACGCCCAGGGCCGAGCGCAGCCTCATCCCAAAGCCACGCAGTCCCGCCATGCCAGAGCCACATGCCCTTCCCCCAGGAACTGGCCTCACAGCAAAACCAACACTGCAGTGGCACATGCCACTGGCGGGTGGCCCTCAGAGCATGTCTGTGGAGGAGGTGCCCAAGACCTCAGGGTGCATTGCCATCTCTAGGACACCTTCTCAACAGGCCAGTGCTCACACAGGAGGCTTCTGAGGAGCGGCTACCAACAGGCATGCTGTGAGACTGGATGGGTGGCTGCATGACACTCAGGATGTTCCCGGTGTGCACTTTAGAATCAGTTACAGCCACTTCTGCCTCACCTTTTTTAGTCTTTTTTGCTTAATTGTGGTAAAATATATACAAGTTTTACTACTTTAACCCCTCCCCTGCCTTTTTTTTTTTTTTTAAAGAGACAGGGTCTTGCTCTGTTGCCCAGGCTGGAGGGCAGTGGTGGGATCATGGCTCACGGCAGCCTTGACCTCCGGCTTGCGCATCCTCCCACCTCAGCTTCGAGAGTACAGGGGTCACAGGCGCCACCGCAGCTGGCTGATTTTCTTCTGGTAGAGAGAATAGGATCCTGCTGTGTTGACCAGGTTGGTCTCAAACTCCTGGGCTTGAGCGATCCTCCCACCTTGGTCTCCCACAGCACTGGGATGACAAGCATGAGCCCCACGCCCCACCCATTTTTTTTTTTTTTTTTTTTTGAGACTGAGTTTCGCCCTTGTTACCCAGACTGGAGTGCAATGGCGCGATCTCGGCTCACCGCAACCTCCGCCTCCTGGGTTCAGGCAATTCTCCTGCCTCAGCCTCCTGAGTAGCTGGGATTACAGGCACGCATCACCATGCCCAGCTAATTTTTTTGTATTTTTAGTAGAGACAGGGTTTCACTATGTTGACCAGGATGGTCTCGATCTCCTGACCTCATGATCCACCCGCCTCGGCCTCCCAAAGTGCTGGGATTACAGGCTTGAGCCACCGCGCCCAGCCCATTTTAACCATTTCTAAGCGCACAGCTCCACAGCATCAGGAACTACATTACATCTGCGTTGGGCAGCCATCACTGCCATCTCACCAGAACTCCTTCCCTCCCGAGACGGAGGCTCTGTCCCCCATGAAACACTCACTCCGCATCCCATCCCCAGGCCGCGGCAGCCGCATCTGCTCTCCGTAACCGGCTCCTCTGGACGGCGCACTTGAGGGAGCCGGAATGACACGAGGGCTCTGGGGCTGCTTTAACTAAACATTCTCAGGGCAGCACGCAGTAGTCTCATTACCTTTGAGACAGTCTCTAACACAGCTCCCTGCAACCTCGACCTCCTGGCTTCAAGGGATCCTCCCACCCCAGCCTCCTGAGTAACTGGGACCACAGCCTCACGCCACCACACTCAGCTAATAGAGATCGGGTCTCATGTGGTGCCCAGGCTGGTCTCGAACTCCTGGGCTCAAGCGATCCTCCCACCTCAGCCTCCCAGTGTTGTGATTCAAATATTTTTTCTCATTGCTAAATAATGTTCCCTTACCTGCACAGCACACATGTTACCTAAAGTGGTGAATTTTACGGTGTGTTGATTCTGTCAGTAAAGCTGTGATTTTAAAGAAACAAAACACTGGGCCACGGAAGCCCTGACTCCCCCGCTGCTGAGTCCTTCACGGTCACTCGTGAACGCAGCACACAGGTCTGCACGAGCCTCTCGGGTCCAGTGACAAGCAGACCCGGATTTTGGCAGCCGCCCTCACCCCAGCTTAGGGCACCTTGGGCCAGACCAGGCGGACCGAGGGGCCTGGAGGGACTTACGTCCAGGATGTCCATGCGCTGCCGCAGGCTGTAGTTCAGGGCATAGAACTGCGAGGTCAGATAGTCAGCCACCTAAGAGGGCAGGACAGAGGCTGCTGTGGTCCGGGACCAAGGGGCTGCTGGGGCGACCTCCAGGCACTGCACAGCCAGCTCCAGCATGGGACACAGCCTCAGGCACCGCAGCTCCCCACACTTCCTGCTGCACCTGCACTGGCCAGGGCCACCAGTGTGAAGACTCACCCGGGCTGGGTCTGTGACCGTGACAGCCACCAGGGCTCTCTGGCGCAGCTGCTCAAATCCCACCACGCAGGTCTTCTCCTCCAGATGCAGAAGTACCTTAGCCAGCTCCATGCTCACCTGCACACAAGAGTGAAGTCTGGGAAACCTGCCGGCTCAGCCACCCACCCCTGCAGAAGCCCCAGGCCGCAGGCCTTCCAGGACAGGCAGCAGCCCTGAGTCACACATGGGAGCCAGATGTCACCCTCAGTGGCCAGAACACAGACAGCGTTGGGGGAGCTACTACCTTGGGCTTCCCACCCACTCCTGCCTCAACTCACCTCCTGAGTGGCCGTGGAATTCCTATAGACCAGGCCCTCAAGGGCCCGCAGGGCCGCCTCCCAGCGCTCTATGTCCTCAGACGTGGTGAGGGCTGCAAGGAACCCAGATAGGTCTCGGTCAGCCTCGACGCTGACTCTGAGCCGGCAAGAGCCCGCGGCACAGTCAGCACCCAGGGCCCGTGCCTACCTTCCACGCAGTCACGGACATAGGCAGGAGCCTTGCTGCTCTTCAGCTCTCTGTCTCCTGACATGTCATAGGGGACAAACTCATCATCGCTGTGGGAAGGCAAAGCAGACAGCAACAGCCCACAGCCCATGAGAGGAAGCGCTGAGCAGCAGAGCCAACCCTTCCCTCCTCCCAGAGATGTGGCGCTGGCCTCAGCCCCTGTGCCTGCAGAGCTGGGAGCTGTGGTGAGGCCCCTGTGCCTGCAGAGCTGGGAGCTGTGGGTGCCCACATGGCGACGGAGGACAAGGGCGGAACAGGCAGGGAGCCCCACGGGCACAGCTCGGAGGACGAGGGGCTCGCCTCCCAGCCACCTGCACACTGCCCACTGGGCCGGGAGAGCCCTTACCTGTCCAGCTCCGAGTCAGAGACCGCCAGCCGTGCCTGGGGGACACCACCATCCACAGTCTCTGCAGGGGTCTCTACAGGGGACTCTGCTGTGGCTGCAGCGAGGGACGTGCTTTCAGGAAACAAGGAACAAATCCTTCAGGGTCCCCTCCAGCCTCTGGTCTCAGGACTCGCGGGACCGAAAGAAAGGCTCTCACCCCTCCCGTCCCAGCAGCAGAATCCAGAGCGACAAGAAGTGCACGCGGTGGGTCCCAGGACGCAGAGACCCTCACCCTGCCTCTGAGGCACCGTCACCCGCAGGCTGGTGGGAAGCCAGGGCCAGCAGCTCGAGGCTCAGTTCATCATCTTCGTACTGCAGCAGAGGGGCAGGGGCACGGAGGCTCAGAGGTGCCCCCAGGCTGCAGCGCCCTCCCGAGATGGAGCTGCTGGAGCCACTCTCCACTGCGGCCTCTTTTGCAGCCGAACCACTTGGTGGTAGATTCTAGCCCGGGACAGCCAGGTGTCTTTTGAAAAGCAACTTTCCAAGAGGCCACCTCAGGCAAAGAGTAGCACTGGGTGTGCTCAAAGCTGGGGGGCTACGGCCCCTCCCAAAGGAGGTGGGACCCCCCACCCAGGCCAGTGCCCCTGAGAGGATCCCAGGGTCTCAGCAGATAAGAGGACAGGCCGTCACTTCCACAGCCTGAAGACAGGCGGCACCCACGCCAGGCAGTGGGCAGCAGAGGGGCCAACACCCACAGCCACGGATCTGGAGCAACGTGGCTGCCCTGTAGCCCGGGACGGACAAACCGCAGGGGCAGCTCCCTTAACCCCAGCCCCCGCCGCACCCCCGTCTGGAGAGAGTCTGTGAATGTGTCCTGGCAAACCTCCCCGGGGACACGTGCTCACCCTGACCCTGTGTGGCCCCAGGAGCCCAGGCCTGAGCCTGCCACAGCTTCCAGCCTCAGCCCTGTGAGAAGCCAACAGGGACACTCCGAAAGTCTGGTCCCGGGAAGCGGGGGTGAACCTGGGGTGGGAGGGCAGCCGCCCGGGAGACCCGGACCAGCCACACGGATATGTGCAGGGGGCGGCCGGCTCACCTGGAATTTCAGCGGAGGCCCCTCGGGGTGGATCCGGGCACTGATGACCTCGGCAACGATCATGCCCAGATGTCGCACGGAGGGCAGGCTGCTGTCCAGGCGGCACTTTACACCCGCCATCATGCTGGCCAGCAGTTCTGCAAGCACCGCATAGGCCCCTGAGCCCCAGGGGGTGCCCGGGGCCGGTGGGGGAGCCCGAACCACCTGCTTACCATCCCGGCTGTCCCGCAGCTCCGGCTCCCTGAGGTGCACCAGGCAGATGAGGATGGCCTTGCTGACGTGGCGCTGCTGCAGCAAAGGCGTGTGGCGGACGGCGCTGCTGCTCCCCCACGTCTCCAGCAGCTCCTTCAGCACCTGGTAGACGGTAGCCCGGGACTGCCTGGGGCTCGGGGCCAGGCCATCCCCGCCAGGCCCACAGCCACCCAGAGGGATCTTCGGCCCCAGCCCAGCCAGCCTCACCCTGCCCCGCCCCCAGGGTGATCCCCACGCAGCCTTCTCCCAGGGCCTCGCAGGACGGAGAGCCAGAGGCTCCTACCTGCAGCAGGAGAGGGCGCCGCTGGCTGTCCGTGGCCAGGTAGCCCAGCAGGCTCTGCAGCATGGGCGTCTACAACAAAAGCAGAAGTCCCATCCACTGGGCTGGCACCGCCGCCTGGCCAGCCTGGGGCTCCCAAGGTCAAGACCCCTGCCAGGACTGGGAGCAGGCTAGGGGCAGCAGCCGGACAAGGAGCACAGGGCCTGCTGCCTCCTGGAATGCAGGGTCCCTCCCCTCCTGCACAAGCTGCCCCTGGGCTCACCGAGCCACCCGCCTCACACTTTGAACTGAACATGATAAAACGCTTTCATATAAAAATGTGGGAGGCAGCTGCTGCTGTGGTGAGGCGAGGTCTCACCATCTTAAGTTCTCGTGTGAGCAAAGGAGAAGACAGTGAGGCAAGCTGTGACCGAGAATCAGGCGGGGCACAGTGGCTCACACCTGTCAGCCCAGCACGTGGGAGGCCAAGGCAGGTGGATCACTGGCGCTCAGGAGTTCCAGACCAGCCTGGCCAACATAGGAAGACCCCCTTCTCCACTGAACATTTTAAAAAATAGCTGCACGTGGTGGTGTGCGCCTGTAGTCCCAGCTACTGGGGAGGCTGAGGCAGGAGGATCACTGGAACTGGGAGGTCAACACTGCAGGGAGCCACAATCAAACCACTGCACTCCAGTCTGGGCAGCACAGCAAGACAAGGCCTCAGAAACTTGAGAGACTTGCACAGGATGGCCTCCATGATCCTCTCCTCAGGCATCTGCTGGGGACACCCATCCCCATCTCTCCCTGTCCCCACCCTGAGTGACGAGTCACAGCTGGGCTGTGTGAGGCCAGAGCTAGTGACTTCCACCCTCCCACCTCAGGCTGTGGGTACTTCACTACCCTGTGGACTGGTAGCAATCAGTCCATTTCACCCCGGAACCCTCCACCTCTGACCTCACACAGGAGCCAGGCTGAATCACCTCTAGGTAAACCCTGTGGCTGCCCCTTCGCCACACAAAGGGGCCTCAGGCTGTCTGGACATGGCTGCCCTGGCCTCACACCTCCTCCCTGCCCTCGTGCTCACCACAGCACAGGCCCCGACCCACTCAGGCCAGCCCAGCCACTCCTACCCAGTGCTCGGAGGCCACCTGCCCACACCTCTGGGCCAGGCCCTGCCACACTCCACCCAAGTGCCTCATCAGCAAGGTCCCTGCCACCCTTCTCAGCCCTGTGTCTGCCTCCTGGTCCATGGGCAGCTGGTGCCATGAGGGAGGATAGTCACTCTCCTGTCCATGCCAGATACCCAGCACCCAAGAAAGGCTCGGCACAGGGTGCGCCCAGACACTTGCTGAAAACAAAGCCACGGGGCAGGGGCCCTGGCTCACCTACCCTGGGCGGCTCCAGGCCATGGGGACAGGAGTCACAAGTCCCAGAAGCACACGGACTCCTCTGTGTCCTGACCTATCCCCCACCCACCCCACCCCACCCCACTCCTCAAACCCCTGGCACAGGACGCAGCTGGGGAGCATGGCTTCTCAGGAGTCTGCAGGATTAAGGGCTAGAAGAAACCCTTACTCAGCGCCCATCACAGCAGGGCCCGTCATAGGGGCGGAGGGGGACACCCACTACCCACTGACGCCTGGTGCCACCTCCGAATCATGTGCAGTGTCTCCCAGCCAACAGACACCGGCTTCCACCCCATGTTTTGCAGCGATTCTTGCTATGACGGCACAGCCTGCAGCCTCCCCAGCGTCCTCACCGTGAGCCGGGACTGTAAGAACAGAAGCTTCCGGGTCATCACAAACTGGGCCTTCTTGTTCTTCACCACCAGGTTCCCCAGCAGTCGCGACAGGACCTCAGGCCTGCAAGGTAGCGTCAAGAAGCCAGAGCCGCAGGCTGGCCTCGGAGGCAGGGAGGAGGGAGAGCATGGACTCCGACACCCACAGACCTCGGCCTGCCACTTCCCAGCCTCGCCTCTGCTCCCATCCTCTCACAGTCTCGCTGGGCCTCCACCCTCCCTTCTCCGGGGCATAAATGCAACAACCCAGAGAGCGCCTGCGCCCCCCACCACGGCGAAGGCAGATCCACACCTGTGGTCTCCTTTCCCTGCTCTGACCGGGTCCACGGTCAGCGCCTCATATAGGGCAGGGCGGAAACCTTTTCTGCAAAGGGCCGGAGCCTAAGTGTTCCAGATTTATGGAACACAGAGTCACGTCACAGCCACTCCACGCTGCCACCCTGGCTGAAAGCAGCCAAACACATAAACCGATGAACACAACTGGTGCCAAAAAACCTTTGTTTACAAAAACATGCAGTGGGCTGAACTCTGTCCAAGTGGCCTGCAGACTCTGGCCTAGACTGAGAGAGCCGTCTCAGTAAGTGAAAGGTCACGGGCTCCAGAAAGGGCCCCATATCTCTCCAGCCAGCGTGGAAACATACGGCTGGATTTCTCCCTTACTCATCACCTAAAATTCCACACAGAGACAACAGCTTAAAAAAGATTTCGGAGGCCAAGGAAGGAGGATCACTTCAGGCCAGGAGTTTGAGACCAGCCTGGGCAACAAAGTGAGACCTGTTGCTACAAAAAATGTTTAAAACAGAGCTGGGCATGATAGCACCTGCCTATATAGGAGCCTGCTATTCTGGAGGTGAGGTGGGGAAGTGGCCTGAGTGCAGGCAGTGGAGGCCGCAGTGAGCTATAATCACACCACCGCACTCCAGCCTGGGAGACAGAGCAAGACCCTGTCTCTACACACAGTGCCCTCCCCGCAAAACAAACTGTGAAGCCGAATGTGCTTATATAACTCACAGAGAAAACATTACAAATCCTTTAAACATGCACACCCTCACCCAGAACCAAGAATGCCAATCACCTGGGTGCGGTGGCTCAGGGCTATAATTCCAACACTTTGGGAAGCCAAAGTGGGTAGATCGCCTGAGGCCAAAAGTTCAAGACCAGCCTGGTCAACATGGCGAAACCCTGTCTCTACTAAAAATATACTTGGGTGGGCTTGATGGTGGGTGCTATAATCTCAGCTACTCTGGACAATAAGGCAGGAGAATTGCTTGAACCCAGGAGGTGGAGGCTGCAGTGAGCCAAGATCATGCCACTGCACTCCAGCCTGGGCGACAGAGCCTGAATCCATCTCAAAAAAGAAAAGAAAAGAAAAGAAAAACGCCGGGCGCGGTGGCTGAAGCCTGTAATCCCAGCACTTTGGGAGGCCGAGGTGGGTGGATCACGAGGTCAAGAGATCGAGACCATCCTGGTCAACATGGTGAAACCCCGTCTCTACTAAAATACAAAAAATTAGCTGGGCATGGTGGCGCGTGCCTGTGATCCCAGCTACTCAGGAGGCTGAGGCAGGAGAATCGCCTGAACCCAGGAGGCAGAGGTTGCGGTGAGCCGAGATGGCGCCATTGCACTCCAGCCTGGGTAACAAGAGCGAAACTCCGTCTCAAAAAAAAAAAAAAAAGAAAAGAAAAGGAAAACAAGGAGGAAATGCTTTGGGAGAGACAGACGCTGCATCACACCTTCAGCAGGGAGGAGAGGCTTCAGAAGGTAGGTGAGCTGGCAGGGTTTTCCAGGGTTAAAAGGCCAACAGAGAGGAGCAGAGGTGTCAGAAGGTAGGTGAGCTGGTAGGGTTTGTGAGGGTTACACCATGGCCAGCAGTCCTGCCTCCAGGAATGCACCCTTGATTCTACCACACAGGCGCACAAAGACATGGGGACACAAGCCACTGCCCGCCCCCCATGTCAGAGCCCGGCACTGGCACACCAGTGTTCGAGGAGGCCATCATGGAGGAGTGACCACAGGCACAGGACAGGGTATGTGGCCAAAGGTGCAAGCGCCTGCAGGGTGCGGGTATTCACAGCATTGATGCTATTTTCTTAAGAAAAAGGGACCGTCTGATGCAGAGGTCACCATCAGCACATGTGGAAGCTGGGAGGCACCATCCATACCCCACAGATTGGACGTGGAGGTGCCAGCCGCAGCACGGCGCCCAGGAGAAGCCATGTAAAGGAATGGCAGCCCCAAGGGTCCAGACCCCCACCCAGGAAGCAAGGTCCGCGGGAGGAGAGCTGACTGCTTACCCCTGCGCGGCCTCCACCAGCCCGGTCAGCACCGCCTCCATGGCCCGGTCCGGCACTTGCTCCATCAGGCGCCAGCAGACGCGCTGGTGCAGGCAGCTGCCCTGGGTGAGCTCCGCCAGCCGGGGCACCAGCACGCCCAGGATCTCCTCTGGGGGGACAGATGGAGGCCCTGAGCTTCGGGAGCTGCACCCGCCTGGGCATCTGGGGGCTGTGCAGGTCCGACGTGGACATCCCCACAGCTCCCCAGTCGGCACAGCCGAGCCCCAGACCCCAGGGTCCTAGAACAGGCTGGGCGAGGAGCCCCACAGAGGGCCAGGGTCAGGTGGGAGGGATTCTCGGCCTTCTGGAGATGGCTGACAAGGTGCAAGGGTCGGGCAGGTGGGCAGGACGGCACTGCTCTACTCACGCTGCCTCCCGTGGATACAAGCTTTCCCGAGGACCTGGGACACAAAGGACACAGAGGAATCCAGGCCACCTGGGACAGAAAGAGAGACCAGCTGAGGAGGCCGGGGACGGGCACAAAAGAACACGTAAGTGTGGAGAGAGCTGTCCTTGGTCAGACAGACTCCAACTGAAGGCAAAATTCACTCAAAACACCAGCTGCTGCCAATCAGCCTATCCCAGCCAATCTCAACAGGAGCGTGTAGAACTTCACCAGCCAATTGCAATCCTTCAAAACCTTCACGCAGCCGGGCACGGTGGCTCACACCTGTAATCACAACACTGTGGGAGATCCAGGCGGGTGGATCACAAGATCAGGAGTTCGGGGCCAGCCTGGACAACACAGTGAAACTTCCCCTCTACTAAAAATACAAAAATTAGCCAGGCGTGGTGGCACATGCCTGTAGTCTCAGCTACTGGGGAGGCTGAGGCAGGAGAATTGCTTGAACCTGGGAGGCAGAGGTTGCAGTGAGCCGAGATCACGCCGCTGTACTCCAGCCTGAGCAACAGAGTGAGACTCCATCACAAAAAAAAAAAACACCTTCATCCATCTTAGCCCAGTTAATTGTCATGATGATCCTAGAAGGTCAGGACAGGTATGACATTGCCAAGGAGGGAGAGGAGGCACGGGCAGGACCCGGCCAAGTTCGGTCAGCCACACATGGTAGGCCTGGGCCCTGAGCCATCCCTGAGACACACGAGCAGCGCCACCAGCACGGCCATGCACAGGGAAGGAATCCACAAGAGGGAACATGGGGAACCCGGAGGGGCCGGGCCGAACCAGCTCCAGAGAAGAGCTGGGATGCGGGGGAGCAGCAGGCGCAGAGCTGCATGGGGACAGGAATGGCCCTGTCCAACCCCGAGTGTGTGAAAGACAGGCGTCCCACACATGTCCCAGATGTTTCCAAAGCCTCCTTAACCCCTCCGCCCAAGTAGAGAAGCAGCTGCGACCCAGGGCTACGTTTGGAAAAGACAGGAGGGGCTTGGGAGGGCGCTGCAGGAACCCCCAGGTGAGGCGATGGGGACTGGGCCAGGTGGGCACCACACAGGGACTTGAGGGGCCCAGCTTCCTCCTGGGCTCCGAGGGGGCACCGGCCTGCTCCAGGACCCCAGGTGCCGGCCCCAGTGAAGGAGGGAGTTTTAGAACGAGGTGCAGCAGCACATGAAGCAGGAGGGGGAGGCCAGACCCACGTGCTCGACCTGTGTCTGAGCGGTTGCCTGGAGCTCAGGAAAAGCGAGAAAAGCAAGGGGTCACCTTGCAGGAGAGGCTGACGCTCCGGCGCCCTGCAGGCCCCCGCCCGGCCTCCTTCTCACCACTGAAATGCACACTCACGGCGGCCACCTTCTGATGCCCTACCCCAGGGAAAACAATGAGCATGGGCACCCATGGGGCTCTGAAGCCCAGTGGTAGGCAAGGCTGTCCCCATACAGCCCACTCTCTGGGCACCACCAGCATCTGCCACCAGCCCTGAGACCCTCGAGTCCCCCCAACCTCGTGCTGCAGCACACTGGGCCCCGAAACCAGCAGTGGCTGCAGGGACAGGAGGAGAAGTTCGCGTAGAGGAGGGCAGCGGACTTCAGCCCATAGCGGACAGGCCCTTCAGTCACTACTGCCCGGGACAGGGACATCCCCACCTGCCTGATGGCATGAGCCAGAGACTTCAGAGTTTCTGGAAGCCGTGAGGCACCAGGGAGGCTGGCAGGGGACAATGGCCCAAGAAGACGGGTCACAAGGGTGTCCCCAAGGCAGGGCCTCACCTTGGAGAGAGTCTACGATGGCCTGTAGCACCCGGACGACCTCCTCGCCGAGCAGGCGGAAGTAGTTCTGGGGTAAGAACTCAGCCAAGTTCTCGCGCTGCAGGCGGTTGCCCAGGTGATCGGGCAGGGCCACCACCTTGCCCAGCAGCGTCTCCCGGAGAAGGGGGAAGCCGGGCTGCGTCTCCTGCCGACATTGCGTTTCCATCAGCACTGCCAGCCGGCCCTCTCGCAGGAACCTGGCCAGCAGCTGTGCCATCTTCATCAGCCGGAAGCTGGGGCTGAAGACAACGGGCGTGTTGGGCAAAGCCCCCAACCCCCATCCTTGGGGCCCCTTTCCTGCCACAAGGAACCAGCAGCCCCAACTGCTTAACCAGCACCAAGTCCAAAACCACAAGCAAAACGGGAAAATACGTTCATCCATTCCTAAATAACTGCAGTCACTTCCGGGCCTTGAGAAGCCGCCCCAGCCTGGAGTCTCACTGGACACCCCTCCCCTGCTGTTGACACCAGTGACTTGGCGCTTGCTTTGATCACAGCAACCTCTGAAAACCCAGCTTCTCAAAGGTACAGCGTCCTGGCACGGACCTCAGTGTGGTCTGATGCTAAGCCTGGGAACCGGCTGGGGCTGCGAGTCCACGTGGGACACGTGTCGTGACAGCTATGCTTCTGTGCTTCCCTGGAAAACCTGGAACATCCCAAGCTGACTGGCTGCCTCTGCCACCTGGGACGGGAACACTCCCACCCCATCCCTCTCTGACACAGCCGGACAGGGAACGAGGGAGGGACTTTGTGAGAGACAGCAGGTACCTCCCATTGCAAAGGAGCTAGAACAGACCGCTTCCTCTGTTTGGGGGTTCAGCCAGGAGCAGGGTCTCTCTCTGGCCCTTCAGAGGGACTCCTGGTCCAGTCCTTTCAGCTACTCTCATCACTTCTGAGGCTACCAGCAACCCCAGGATGGGCCCAGCCCACTTACCCTGCGGCCCCCTCGATGGCTTCCATCAGCACCAGGAAGGCTTGGTCCGCGGGGCCCTCCAGGAAGAAGCTGGCCCACAGCTCCTCCAGGCGGCCATCGGGTAGCAACTCCAGCCAGGCCAGGCTCAGCCTGCTGGCAAGACATCTGAGGACTGGCGAGAAGTGGGCGGAGGCAAACTCCTCCTTCTCCCCGGGGAGAGCTGGAGGCTCCGTCTCACTCAGATACCGCTTCAGGGACCCCAGGATGCAGAAGATGTGGTCGCCATCCTCCGAAGACGAGAGGGCATGAATGGCTTCCCGGACGGCGAGTCGGACCCTTGAGGGTGCTGGCTCCATCCTGCAGGACAGACCTGGGCGTCACGGGAAGGCGACCTGTGGCGTGGACATGGGGTTCAGCTTGGGGCAGGGAATTAATCCACACACGCTCAGGAAGCCCCTCAGTGAGCGCGCAGGGACCCCATGCTCCTCGTCCCGGGTCCCACCCAAACCTGTCCCCAGCGGCTTCCTGTCCCGCCTCCTTCCCTGCAGTGCCTGACGGTTTCCACTCGGACTTCGTTCCTCCACTGGGACCCCCACGCTACCCGCCACTGCAGGGCTTCTCAGCTCGGGCCACTGTGCCCACGGGACATTCTCAGTTGTCACAACGGGGGCGCCACTGGCGCGAGAGGGAGGTGGAGGCCAGGGATGCCGGTGAGTGTTGACCGGGCACAGGGCGGCCCCACGCGTCCTCGCACCCAAGACGGGAAACCCGGCCCACGGGAGCTGCTGACCTCCCGACCCCCGGTGACCGGTGGCTCCCGTCGCCATTCCTCTGCCCCTCAGAAACCGCGTACGGGGAACACGGTTTGGGGGCCAGAGGACCCGCACGTGGACCCAGCCCCCGACGCCGACCTGTACCCCGACCCCGGCCGGACCCCTACCCGACCCGGACCCGACCCAACCAGATCCGGAGCCCAACCCGACCCCCGACCCCCCGAACCCCCAACCCCCCGACCCGCGACCCCACCTGGACCCGGATCGCGGGTGACTGCAGCGCACTCAGACCCCCGTGCCAACTATTCACCGCCGCCGATTCGCCGCGGCCGCCGCGGCCCCGAACGAAACGCGATCACAGCCCAGCCAGGTGGCCCCGAGCACGAGTTCCTGGACCCAGGCGGAGCTGCTGCGGGTTTTTTGGAGCCTCTACGGTGGGTCCCCGCCGGCCTCTCAGCGCGAATCTGCGGAGGACGCCGGGCGACAGGGCGCATGTGCGCCTGCGCTGCGTGGGAGGGGGGCGGAGCCTGGGGACGGGGCGGGTCCGGTGGGTGGGCGGGGCCTGACACGTGGGTGGGGCTTTGCATGGGGTGCGGCCTGAGGGCGGGGCTGCGAGCCGGTCCGATGCGCCGGGGTGGTTGGTCCTCGCATTAGCTTCTCCTACCCTGGAGTGATTTAAGCCGTCCCTTCCCTCCGCCTGGGGTCCCACATTCTCTCCAGAACGCCGGCCGTTCGCTCTGCTGCGGATGTTTACCAAGACAGGCCTGTCGTCTTCCCCGAGGGTAAGGCGCTGCTTCCAAGGGTCAGAGGCCAGTAAGAGGAACGCAGGGTACACAGGGAAGTAGAGCAACAATTCAGATCATGTCAGATATGAACGAATGCGGCCCTGTAAACGAGACCGGGTCATGGAATAAGGACTGCGACCAGGGCCGGGCCGGTGCCTCACGCCTGTAATCCCAGCACGTCGGGAGGCCAAGGCCGGTGGATCGCCTGAGGTCGGGAGTTCGAGAACAGCCTGGCCAACATGGTCAAACCGCGTTTCTACTAAAAATACAAAAATTAGCTGGGCGTGGTGACACAGGCCTGTAATCCCAGCTACTCAGGAGGCTGAGGCAGGAGAATTGCTTGAACCAAAGAGGCAGAGGTTGCAGTGAGCCTAGATTGTGCCACTGCACTCCAGCCTGGGCGACAAGAGCAAGACTTCGTCTCAAAAAAAAAAAAAAAAAAAAGACCAGTAGGGTGACCGCTAGACGCATGGGGCTCTGTAAGTTAACTGAAGTTCCTTAGTGGCACTAACACCATCTCAAGGGCCAGGCACTACCTGTGGCTGTGGCCGGACACTGAACATTCCAACATGCAGCACCTTCTGTCAGCCACACTGGAATATGAGCGGGCTTTGCCTTTGGGGAGGGGGCAATCCGGAAAGACACGCTAAGGAGGCGCCATTTCCGGATTGATAGATGTGGGAAAAGCTGGGAACCACTTATCCATTCGACAAGCATCGATTAAATGCCTGCTTGGTGCAGCAAGCCCTGTGAGCAACAGAGGATGCCAAGTTCCTGCTCACGTATCGGGGACAAATCAATTACATACGCAATATGCCAGATGACAGGTCCCGAGCAGAGAAATTGGCAGAGGCTGGGGCCGGTGGCTCCCGTCAGCAATTCCTACACTGGGAAGCTAAGGGGAGAATCGCTTGAGCACAGAAGTTCAGGACTGGGCAAAATAGTGAAACCCTGTCTCCACACAAATTTAAAAATTAGCTGGGCATAGTGTCATGTGCCTATGGTCCCAGCTACTCAGAAGGCTGAGGTGGGAGGATGGCTTGAGTGCGGGGTGGGGGGGGCGGATTGAGGCTGCAGTGAGCCATGTTCATTACTGCTGCACTATAGCGTGAATAACAGAGCAAGACATGGTCTCAAAAAAAAAAAATGGGGGTGGGGGAAAGGAAATGAAAGAAAGGAGGCTGGGTGCCCTGGCTCATGCCTGTCATCCCAGCACTTTGGGAGGCCGAGGTGGGTGGATCACCTGAGGTCAGGAGTTTGAGACCAGGCTGGTCAGCATGGTGAAACCCCGTCTCTCCTAAATATACAAAAAAAAAAAAAAAAAAAAATTGCTGGGTGTAGTGGCACACACCTCTAATCCCAGCTACTCGTGAGGCTGAGGCTGGAGAATTGCTTGAACCTGAGAGGCGAGATCACGCCATTGCACTCTAGCCTGGGCAACAAGAGCGGAATTCCATCTCAAAAAAAAAATAATAACCAAAAATAAGTGAAAGACAAGGTCAGGAGATCAAAACCATCCTGGCCAACATGGTGAAACCCCATCTCTACTAAAAATACAAAAAAATTAGCTGGGAGCCGGGCGCGGTGGCTCAAGCCTGTAATCCCAGCACTTTGGGAGGCCGAGGCGGGTGGATCACGAGGTCGAGAGATCGAGACCATCCTGGTCAACATGGTGAAACCCCGTCTCTACTAAAAATACAAAAAATTAGCTGGGCATGGTGGCGCGTGCCTGTAATCCCAGCTACTCAGGAGGCTGAGGCAGGAGAATTGCCTGAGCCCGGGAGGCGGAGGTTGCGGTGAGCCGAGATCGCGCCATTGCACTCCAGCCTGGGCAACAAGAGCGAAACTCCGTCTCAAAAAAAAAAAAAAAAAAAAAAAAAAAAATTAGCTGGGTGTGCTGGCGCACGCCTATAGTCCCAAATATTCGGGAGGCTGAGGCAGGAGAATTGCTTGAACCCAGGAAGCAGAGATTGTAGTGAGCTGAGATTGCACCACTGCACTACAGCCTGGGCGACAATGCAAGACTCCACCTCAAAAAATAAAAATAAAAATAAGTGAAAGAAAGGAAGAGCCAGCAGGGTAAGAAAATGAGAGCCATGGCCGGGCACAGTAACTCACTCCTGTAATCCCAGCACTTTGGGAGGCCGAGGCAGGCGGATCACAAGGTCAGGAGATTGAGACCATCATGGCCAACATACATCTCTACTAAAAATACAAAAAATTAGCTGGGTGTGGTGGCACGCAGCTGTAGTCCCTGCTATTCGAAAGGCTGAGGCAGGAGAATCACTTGAATCTGGGAGGTGGAGGCTACGGTGAGCCAAGATTTTGCCACTGCACTCCAGCCTGGGCAACAGAGTGAGAATCCATCTCAAAAACAAAATTAAAAGAAAATGAGAGCCAGACCCCGTCTCTACTTAAAACGTACAAAAATGAGCCAGGTGTGGTGGCGCGCGCGCCGGTAATCCCAGCTACTTGGGAGGCTGAGGCAGGAAAATCACTTGAACCCAGGAGGCGGAGGTTGCAATGAGCCATTCGCACCACTGCACTCCAGCCTGGTGACAGAGCGAGACTCCGTCTCAAAAAAAAAAAAAAGAAAAAAGAAAGAAAGAAAGAGAAAATAGGCACAAGAGAGCAGTGGGTGTTATCATAAATGAGGTGAGAGCTCTGAATAGGAGCCCCTAGAGCAGAGCCCAGAACGTGGTGATGCCCTGGGGGAAGAGTCTCCCTGGCAGGAAGACCTGAGGCCGAAACTGTGGCCAGGGTGGTGGAGCCGAGGGAGGCAGATGGAGGGACGAGGCCTGGAGGGAGAGAGGCCATGGCCGGGCCACAGAAGGCCCTGGTGGGGACTGAAGATGTTCTTTGCGTGGCAGGCAGCCCCTGGGGTCAGCGAAGACATGGCTCCACACTGGTGCAGTTAGGAGAGGAGACGACCACGGACTTGGGGACTAGGCGGCCGAGGTGCAGATGGGCTTGGGGCAGAGCCAGTGTTGACAAGCAGCTGAACTCAGGGCCTGTCTTTCGAGGCAGAGCTGATGGACGGGGTGCGGGGCGTGCCGGGGTCCCACCATCCCGGAAACTCTGTTCCCCGCCCCCGTCCGCCGCTGGGTTCCTGCCCTCTCCAGCAGCCATGGCTTCGTTGTTCCCTGTTTTCTTCTTTTCCTGAAGCCCCGCATCCAACAGCGGGTACATGGAAGACAAATTTCTAAAGCCTTTGTGTATCTGAAAATGTCTTTATTTTTTGATCTGTCACCCAGGCTGGAGTGTAGTGGCACGATTTCAGCTCACTACAGCCTCCACCTCCCAGGCTCAAGCGATCCTCCCACCTCAGCCTCCCAAGTAGCTGGGACTACAGGTGCCCTCCACCATGCCTGGCTAATTTCTGTATTTTTAGTGGAGACTGGGTTTTGCCATGTGGCCCAGCCTGGTCTCCAACTCCTAGACTCAAGTGATCAGCCCACCTCAGCCTCCCAAAGTGCCAGGATTACAGGTGAGAGCCACCACGCCCTACCTCCACTCATGATTTTACATGGAAATCAGCCAGGTCCAGTGGCTTATGCCAGTAAACCCAGCACTTTGGCTAGGCTGAGGCAGGAGGATTGCTTGAGCCCATGCGTGTTTGAGTCCAGCCTGGCAACACAGCAAGATCCCATCTCTGCTGAAATAAAATTAATGTATCAATCAGTGGAGCTCATTTTCAGTTGGAAGCTGTGAGGTCTACCGCTCTCTGTGTGGCCTGAGGCCCCAACCCAGTCCATGTGCCCAGGATTTAATCTCAGCTGCTCTCTGCATCTTCTCCGTGTCCATGGCGTTCTGACACTTGACAAGGGTAGCCCCAGAGCCACTGATGGTTCCCTGGCCTGGTGCCCTCTGGGCTCATGCCACCTTGGGAATGATGTGTGCCCTCACTGGGCAGCTTCGTGGATTCTCTTATTCCCGTGAGCTGGTGGCTTGAAACAACAGGAATGTATCCTATCGCAGTTCTGGGGCTGGAAGTCTGAAATCAAGGTGAACACTCCCTCAGAGGTTCTAGGGGGCTCCCACTCGCCCCTCCCAGCTTCCGGAGGCTCCAAGTGCTCCTTATGGCAGTGTCACTGCAGTCTCTGCCCCATCTGCACTGGCCCTGTCCTCTGTACCTCCTCCTCCTCTGTCTCTTTTTTTTTTTTTTTTTTTTTTTTGGAGACGGAGTTTCACTCTTGTTACCCAGGCTGGAGTGCAATGGCACGATCTCGGCTCACCGCAACCTCCGCCTCCCGGGTTCAGGAAATTCTCCTGCCTCAGCCTCCTGAGTAGCTGGGATTACAGGCACGCGCCACCATGCCCAGCTAATTTTTTGTATTTTTAGTAGAGATGGGGTTTCACCATGTTGACCAGGATGGTCTCGATCTCTTGACCTCGTGATCCACCAGCCTCGGCCTCCCAAAGTGCTGGGATTACAGGCTTGAGCCACCGCGCCCGGCTCCTCTCTCTCTTATAAAGACTGCTGTCATCGGCTACAGGGCCACCTGGATCATCCAGGATGGTCTCGTCTCAAAATCCTTCATGACATCCGCAGAGACCCTTTTCCACGTCAGGCCACGTGCACAGGTGCCAGGCTAGGGCTTACGTGTGTTTTGGGGAGGTCTTATTCAAGCCACTGCACAAGGCATAGCCAAAAAAATCAACCTGGCCCAAAGGCAAAACCCTGTCTCTACTAAAAATACAAAAATTAGCCTGGC